TAAGTTCTTTCATAAAAACTTATGAAAGACTTCGTTATGGATTATTCCTTGAAAATGATAGTAGAATATTTTTAACACGCTCTCATCAGTTGGGCAGTTTGGTGAGCAGAAAATGATGACGCTGATCTTCCTTCGACTCATGGTTCAAAAACAAAGCATTGCTAAGGGGAGTGAAGAATGTCGCATGAGGCGGTAAAATGGGTAACAGTTTAATAAACGACTAAGTCTACGCCAACGTTTTTTGGTGATTTGGACTTTTCTCTTCGATGGCAATGGCTGCGTCATATAATTGCCTTATAGCGATCTTCTCGATTTTTTTCACTTTTGTCTATTCTAGGACGGCTATATAGTGTAGGAACCGGATCTGACGAACACACTCGACACCCCATGAAGACGACGTGCCATGTCACTCTGCACGTATAATGCAAGAACACTCGCATAAGTTGCTGATCTTCACGCAATTCTTGAAGCCACTAATCGCATTAAATTCTATGTGGTTGCTTCACGGAAAACAAAGAACAAGAAGACTAGCACGCGTCAACCTTTCTTCGTCATAGATCCTTCTATTCAACCAACGCATTATTGGATGATCACTACCACCATCTGCTACTCACCAACCGATGCAGCTGAAGAGCACGAATTGGATGCCTTTTAGTATCACTTGGAGGAATTATCCGTAATGATAAGGTATGCTATAAATTTGTTATAGGGGATTTCAGTGCCAGAATAGGAAAGGCCAACTGAACCAGAAAAAAAAAGAAATGAGAATGGAAACCGACGTGCAGGACACGGACACCTGTATGCAGCACGATTGTTTAGTAAAAACTCACTTTTTCTTTTTAGAAGAAAGAAAGCCACACTGGATATAGGAGTCTCGTAATAGCACGAGCCATGCGGAGGTTGGCCATGTTCTGACCAACAGAAGATCGTGCCTAATTGACAAATCGGTGGCCCCATCAAACTGTACTGGGTCCGATTATCTTTTTCTCGTGAAGATTCGGCTCAGCCGTAAACTGGAAAAGAATCCATGTCATTCACCAAGAAGAAGAAGTCCAGCTGTGAATGATGTAAACATTGTGAACGAAATCCTTCCAAAACGTGACTAGGAGAATAAGGAAGACCTGATCGAAGACTACGAGCTGTATTTGGCAAAGAGCTTAAAGGTTGTGCTGAATTTGCCTCACTTTCCCAAGCAAGAAAAGCAAATCGCACCTCCATTACCACTAAGGAGTTCCTCGAGAATGGAAGGAAACTATAGCTTAATCCTAATGCAATACGCTTAATAATGATAGTAATAAATGATAGTTGCAGAAGAGCTTTCCAGGAAGATCTATATCGGTACAGGTAGAAGAAATTGTTAGAAGCAACACGAGAAAGAACTAATCTGAAGAAGGAAAAGAGATTCCACATGGCAACATCATATTGCCAAAGCTGTTTACTGCCGCACTGCAGCAGACAATGAACTCACTCGATTGGGAAGAGAAAACGACATGTACTGGTGGAAAATTCCTATGCAATCCTCGTTTCGCTGACGACATTGTCATCTTCTCAGGAAGTGCCAACGAAACAGACGTTGATCAATCAGCTCAATGAAAGAAAAGATCAGACTACGTATAAATAGAAAGAAGACTCAGTTCATGAAGAATTCGTAGCACAAAAGTTAACAGATCGCAGTGGATGATTCCCTGATTACAGGGACCAACTTGTACGTATACTTTGAGTGTTCAATGAACATGGAGAACAGTATGAAGGAGAAATTAAACAGAAGAAGGTGTGCAACTTGGATCGCACTCGGGCCTCTCAAAGAATCAATCGACCAACTAACTAAAGGTCCCGAAAACCCGTGCTCACCGTTGAGATTTAATGGTCTTCCCGGCGCTCTGTTATGCGCCAGAAACGTGATACTTTAACCACGTCAAGAATACTGCGTAATACTCACGAAGTGCTTGAACGATGTCGTCTTAAGTATAATCAACACACATGACACCTTACCGGAATGTAAAGCTCTGACTTTCAAAACCTATCTCATCTTCGAGACCCAGGCGAACACATGTCAATAGTGAAAAATAGATAAGCTGGTCATACAATGAGAAGGACAGACAACAAACGCACAAAAAGAACCGTAGAGGAGACTCGACGGCGATTCAAGCGCCGCCTAGGACGACCACCATGCGTTGGGCGAGCATGTTCGTAACCAAAGTCACTCAGCTGTACTAGCAGCTACAGTTGTTTTACAGATCCCAGTATGAGACCAGCACCAGCCATAACGTTCGAGTCAAATCGCCACCGTGGACGACGATTACGAGGCAAGGAAACGAACGGAAATTGTGCTCGATTCTACAAAACTCGTGAAGAAGGACAGTCCAAGTATCCAAGTAAGGGCTTAATATTTGATACGGCATGGGCTCTCAAGGAACAACTTGAAGATCAGTGTTAAAGGAGAATGCTTTCTTACGTAGGTGCAGAGCAAGAGACCATCTCCATGGCATCTTGTGGACATGTTGTTTTGATTCGGTTTCACAAAGATTTAAGATTTGATCGACTTTCACCGATTGTTTCACAGCCAGGACCGAGTGGTAGACAGAAGTACCCAGTGTGTTCGTCACTCAGTGTCGCCCGAGGCAGCATAGAAGCGTTCTCCTGTTGTTACCACAGGCTATCGTGGATTGAAGGGAAGTTTGCTCTGTGCAACTAATTCCCCACTAGGACAGCCGTGATTCTTGGCATTGGTTTCCGCTTGCGCGCCCGGTCGAAAATATCGAGCTCCTCATGTATAGGACTCTGTAGGAGTAGACCTTGCTGTGTATCGTAGCTCTACATCCAGGAACACCGTCCATCCACGATGAGGCGGTAGGCCGTTAGGGTGTACAAAAAGTATAACAAAAAAAAACTGCGAGAAAACGTTGAAAGCAGAATGAGTCATTCATGACTCATATAGTCTAACATATGTTAACCAGTAGTGACGGGAAAATGAAAATTAACTATCCCTCACTGATAATCCGATTATTGTGAATAATCAAATTCCACAACCTACCTATAACTCTAAAGTATACATCTTGATATTTCCAAAATGAATTTGTTCATAGCGATGACAATGTTATTCCTATTTGCGCTCTCTCAATGAATTCGCCTACTCGTTTAAACAAGGCTGAGATTTGATCTTCGTTTCGAAGGTGAGTCTCATTTTAATTTTACTAATTGGGCTGTGGTTGTTGCCAAGTAATCATCCTTGCTACCTATTTCGTCTACGAATAATTCTTCTTTTGTGAGGTTCAGTTACTTTCTTACAAAGAGATTTTTTTAGACTGTTCGTTTAAGGTTATCTATGGTATTGTCGACTACTGAGGCGCGTGTAGCGCAATGGTCACAAGCGCTCTTCAGTACACTAGGATCGGTCCCCGCGCCTCAAGCTCAGCAAGCCACCTATCCTTCCGATGTGTGCAAATTTGCACCAGACTTGTCTGGGAGAATGGCAGCACTGATTCTATGCATTGGTAGGGCACCGCGAGTCGTTGTAAAGGCCAGATATGGATTGAATCACCTCTAACGATGCTTGATGAAGTTGAATGCATAGCGCACCTCTTAGGGGTTGGTCCACGCCGGGAGATTTGCCTTATTTGTATTGTCGATTATTAAGTGAATAGAGTAGACACCTATGACAGCTTAACTGTTCCACCTCATGACGATGAATACGGTAGCTGCTATGCATTTACAAAGAGTTTTCACGACTCGATGCAACAGTTATTTCAGTGAGCAGTCTAATATTTATACAACGTTTTTGTTAACTCATAATATTCCTCTGATTCAAACTTGGTCACCTCAGGACAGCGCACTCCATTTTTACTTTTGAACTGAATAGATGTTTCGGAAAACGAAAGAGAATAAACGGAATGACGTGACCATCTCCCTTGCAGCGATTTTCTGATTAAACGTCACTATCAAAGAAATCTGAAGAAGTGTAACGTATAAGATGCACCATTAGGTGAGATTGCCTCATTCGAAAGGTGTTCCAATGAGGAAGATCCCATATGATACGAGGACGAAGATGCCACATCGAGGAGACGAACAACTGTGGACCATTGACTCGAATCAACGGCTCTCATGAAGAGAAAGGAGTGGAAGCAGTAAAGTTATTTATCAACCTCGTGTAAGCCTACTAAAGGAGGGGTACATTTATCGTGCAAATCTCTCCACTGTCGTTTTTAAGAGCTGAATGCTGAGGAAGGATGGTCGCTTTAATCTGTGCAGTTACTAAATGCTTGCAAGACCCTTTGACACTTCTTTTCCCTTTTGTGGTAATGATAAATACCGTCCATCAACTGCGTAAATCGAAAATTTCACTCTACTTGCTCTTTCTATTCTGACCCGTGTGTCTATGCGGGATGTTCTTCAGGTGAACATAGGTGTAGTTGCTACCGCCTCGGAGAAGACGATTCTTTTAATCACAATCTTAACCTTTTTATTTATTGCCTATTCTTTTTAACGGCAGGGTATTTGCGAAATATAACCACTATAATGCTGAGATATTTGCAAAACTCCGGACTGCAGGTGTCTCTGGTGGGGAGCGAACGCGCTATTGTCCTTTTCGGGGAGTAACGCGTCCACCACCACACCATGCGGATCCTTCGTTTCGCCTGTCTTTCAACTAGTTCTATCGATTTTTTGCCATCAACAATCACCCGAAACGAAGGACCCGCATGGTGTGGTGGTGAACGCGTTACTCCTCGGAAAGGACAATAGCGCGGTTCGTTCCCCACCGCAGACACCTGCAGTCCGGAGTTTTGCAAATATCTCAGCATTATAGCAATTCTTTTAGTTTATTGTAAATCCACTGTAGCCATCAGGGATTACGCTACGTTGTCTAGTTATCATCCACTTCTGATCTTTCATTCGAAGATGCAAATGGTCAGGCTAGTACGAAACGTATTAGAAACGAATTGCAGAAAATATGAGTGTGAGTGACGAAAAACTGTTATCAATGGCAAAAGATGTGATGCTACATGCTTACTGGTAAGTTGAAAAGGTCTGTAAAAGAATTGGACTTCTTCTGTTCATTCTACAAGACCACAATTTGCAGCCCCTATAGCAAGTTTCCTGTTGGGGCCGCCTTATTAACCGCCGACGACACTGTAATTGTTGGAGGTAGGTCGGCCATTCGTTGCGTGAGCTAGCACCAATATTCATCAGTAAGTCCTAAGGGTATGATGATTGTGCAAGGCTTGTAACGATGTCATTTTCACCGAAGTCAAATTACAGCTTAAATTGTCTAATCAAATGGTCGACAAAGCGAACACTAACGTGGTTGTCAGTACTAATAGAACAGGTATTGATAGGCCCGTGAGCGCTTCACGCCCACAGTTGTACCAAAGCGCTTCATTTTTATTTTCTGCTTCTGATATTAGTTATTTTTGAACATATTTCACAACCAATCCAATATGGTGAACTGGCTCGGTGTCGTGTATCTCATAACTTCTTCGGACAGTCTTGTGAGCCTCACCATTACTTTGGTAAGGGCGTTGTATAGAAATATGATAAGTCACAGTTAATCGCTCCACACTTTGCAGAATGCATCATAGTTTTTCACATTCTAATTGCCAGAAATTTTTCTCTATTCATGAGCTTACATAAGGTTATGATGAAAACTATTCGGTTAGCGTTTCCGCGCTTTCGCCTCCTTCAAAGCTATATTGATTGATCGAAAAAACCTTTGAATGTTGCTTGATTATTCCTACCAACGTTAAATGAAAGTCGGTTCTCAAAACATTAATTGTGTGGATTTCTGTATCGTATGGGTCATGGCGAGATCTTTAGCGCTAAGAGCAAACATCACTTATATTCGAAACAACTGATGTTAAACTACTAATTTCCGTATTACCTTTTGAAGCGAACTGTGAGAATGCGTCGTATGGAGGCACAATCTGTGCTGAGCGAAACGCCATCACCACTGCCCTTTCGAGAGGATTTCGTCAGTTCAAAACAATCGCCGTAGGTGAGAAAATTCAGGATGTTTGCCCACGATTTCGTCAAGACTGACCGACTTAGTAACTCATTTTCACTGCTTTGGGTGCTAATAATCAGCAGAGTTTTCATGTCCGTCATCACGAGCATGGTGCTAGTTCCATTCCGTTCCAGGTCAACAAAGCCTCTCATCCCTCCAGGGTGGGGAAATTGGTACCGGACTTGTCTGGAAAAAATCTCTCCGTAATCTAATTGGGAGCAGTCCAGCCCAACTATTTCAGGACTCCGGCGAGAATTGCTCGACTTGCATTCTACGACATCCAAGATGAAATGAAAATCCTCAAGCAGCAACCAAAGCCACACGTAAAAACTTGGAAGACTTTCGTGGACGATATATGCGAGGAAACGAATTGGAATGAGGGGATGAGATGTTGGGATCCGCACAGTAGACGTGAAGATGGATCAAATAAAAGAAAAAACCAGCAGAGCGAAGATTTACTGCCATTCTGAGAATAATGGGAGACTGTTTTCCTCGTAGTTGACCATTTTATGTAATTAAATTGGCACTGATTGAGTACGTCGAGCAACGGTGCGATGGGAATGACCGCTCTTTAGCGCGCAGTCATGCGGGCCATATATGAAGCTCGAACTTCTGTAATTAAGCATTCATATAATCATTACTTTAGTAAAAAGCGCGAACAGTGAATGTTGATGATACAGTAAGAGCAAAGGTTTCCTTTAATGCATTGATGAACGGAATACTGAGATGATAACATACAACTGAAATACATCTAATTGTGATCAAATGTCTCGTTACAAATAAGAAAGGAAAACAAAAAATTTCGAAAAATTTGCAATTCATTTCTTTTCACATTTTTATTAGACAACCGATACCACGTATTGTGCTGATCCGAGGACTCTCGTTTTCGATTTGTTCCTCGTATTCATCATCCATTCAGTACACGGATCTTATTCACAGAGGGATCTCGTGCCGGCAAACAGGAGGCAATGTTGCGGGCCTGTAAGTGGAGGATATGTGGTTAATCGCTGAATAACAGGTGACGAATAAGTAGTTAATCGCAGAACAAAAGCGACCTTCGCTTCTCTGAGACGTAGGTTGATCCAAAGGACGGACTCCTTTTTTCTGCTGCCCTGATTTGGCACATTTCTATTTTTATGAGGACCTATTCATGCACTCCTGCGTGGATGTGTTCTTATTTATGCGGATTGTGTCCTACGAATCAGTCTGGCCAAAATCAAATAACATGGAAGTGTATGGGAAGCGAGTAAAGAGTTCAGCAAACAAGCTTCCCGTCCACTCTGGAAGAGACTGGCAAGCAACCCGAGAGTATGTGCAGTCCCGAGGCTCAGCAAGCTCCACGTCGGTATCAAGCTCTAAAGACAATGAAATAAACGAGCCTCATACGCCTTACCCTGCAAAATCCACCGATACGATGGAATTGGGTAAAACGAGTACGGATAGGCTGCTGAAATCTTGTGGCCTTTCTTAGCTGCCTAAATCACAGAGGACTAAGGTGAAGATATGTACCTCCAATGCACGCCCACTTGCACCTGAGTCATCGTAGAAGACGTGATCATCTAGGCAAAAAGGATAGCATTCGACTTCATCGGAGTGGCTGAGAACAGAAGACGCCATCAATTTCATTTCACGCCGTCTATGACACCGGAGGAGAACTGTACCTCGTAATATACAACAGCAGAAGAGTCGGAGACGTCAGTGTTTTCATCAACACCAGTTTGTTCATGGACGCCGATTCATACAAACAAGTAGCAACCCGAATCTGACATGTACGGTTAGAGAGATATGAATTAATAATGGCTTTGACAATGTTCGTCGTCTACGCACCGACACCAAGGTATGACGAAGACGAAGTCGAAGCGTTCTATATGGACTTGGGGAAATCTCTACAGAGAAGACCATATACTTTTCAAGGTCATATTTTGAGAATTTAAAGCTAAGACTGCACCCAGAAGAACTTCTGATGAACGTCACATTTGAACCCACGGATTAGAATGGAACGAGCAAGGTGAGAGGTTCTTTAAGTTTCTCATACCGACCAAGAGTATCCATGGTAACTCGCAATTCCAGAAGCGTCACTCTCAACGCTGGACGTGGGAGTCTCCCAATGGAGAGTACCATAACGAAGTACACCACATCATAGTGAATCAAAGGCTAGCCTAACCGACATTGCAGTTGTCCCAAAATTCTACACTCAGTCATATCATCGCCTCATTTGTGCAAAATTTCATTCCTCGCAGAAGGGAGAGAAAGGCGGTAAATTCAAAAAACGAATTCCCAAAACAACCATAAACTGCGACTTAATCATTTCATCAGTCAGCTGTTGGGAAGATGTGCTTCTTAATAACATTGAGGGAGAATACGATTGCCTCGTTCAATGTCTTCACGTTAGCGCCGCAAGCTGAGAGTTCGAAAGTCACCAAGAGACGTCTGTCTCCAGAAGCTCTCGAGCTGATACGCCAGCGTGGAGTCGCACGAGCTACATTCTACCGCCTTTTGGCGTTCGAACTTGCAAAATAACAGCGAATAACTATAAAGAAAGGCCTCAAACAGAAAACAGTATCAGCTATGGTCGTAGGCACAGAGGCTCAGAGGCTGAGAGAGGCATTTGCAAAACCCACCGATACTTCGCCAATTACAAAACTTAGATTATTGTATTCCAACACCAGACGGAACAGTTACATCGTCTAGGAGAAAAGTAATGGAGAAAATCATTCGCGACTACTACTCAGCTTCAATAGCATCGTCCTCCTTCCGTCATGTGAAATAAAGGAGGATGGATATGTTGCACCACCGGTTCTCCCTTCCGAAATCCGACATGCCATTTTGTGGGTGAAAAATCGAACAACACCAGGTCTGGACAGGATAAGACCAGAACATCTGAAGAACCTTCCGCCAGTCCTCGTAAACACACTGGCTCGGCTCTTCAAACGTTACCCGTCTGATTGCAAGGTCCATACTCAGTGGAAAACCAACAAGGCCGTGTTATTGTTCAAGAAGGGTGACCTGTACAATATCGGTAACTATCGTCCGATCTGCTTGCTGTCTGTCCTCTGCCAACCTTTCACTCGAATCATTCTAAACAGGATTGACAGAACAATGGACGAAGGACACCCATATGAGCAAACAGGGTTTCCAAAAGGATTTAGTACGATTGACCACATCCACACGGTAACACGACTCGCTGAAGTATCGCGAGAGTACAAAAGAACACTCTACCTCACTTTTACTGATTTAAAGAAGGCCTTTGACTCAACTGAAATAGAATCAGTCATGGAATCACTTGATAGCCAGGGAGTCCCTACTGAGTACACAAAGATTCTTCGTGAGTTGTACAAAAATTTCACAACCAAGATATACAATACTACAACGGTATTAACATCGAAATCAAAACAGGCGTTGGGCAAAGCGATACTACGTCGCCAAAATTATTTACAGCTTATCCTCGAGAATGTCATGCGAACACCATAATACGTAGATTTGTAAGATTTATGTGATAGTATTATAAATATAACAACTCGCGATAACCTTTTACTAGCGTAGTTTTTGCAGTGACACAACTGGAAGAACCAGCCACTCCATGTGGCATGTGTCGTCAGTTTTTGATCGAATTTGGCGATTGTCGGGTTCGTTTTTACTCAATTACAACGGAAACCCTTCCTAGTAGCTCATCTTTGGAATAGAATAATTTTTTTCCTTAGAATTGTAGAACCTTGGTGCTGGTAGTGGTATAGAAAATCAGGGGGCTGTTTTTGATCATGCAACGTCTATAAATTTTATCTGCGCATTTAAAGAGATGGATGCATTTACTTATTTACGTACACTACATATTGCCACTCGAGTCAAGTGGATGACGATCACAATTTCTTGCTAAGAAGGATATTTCCAGGTGATTATGGGATCATCTAAAGGCGATAAGGTGAACGAAACAAGCCTCGCTGAGCTACTTCCGGATGCTTTCACACCTGCCAATCTTGAAACGCATACTGAACAATCATCAAAAGACGATTAATCGCAATAATTTACTTCTATTATAGATCTTTCCAGAATAAAACGTTCCCTCAGTTGTTTCTTCCTACGAGAGTTTTTCATTCATATGTGATCCAACACCACTTTTTAACTCTACAGAACACACTACGTAAACTGGATACGGAAAAAGTCCTTAACAAATTAGTACTCGAATTTTTAAACATTTCAAGGAATACACAACTATTTATGTTTGTCCCCATCTACCATACAGCTTCGCATTCATTACGTTTATGGGTTTCTTGTGACAGCCACTGAATCTTCGGATGAGTATTCCTGTCATGAATAAATTTCTCTATGATTGAGCAGATGGGCCGGACACGTAATGCGTATGAATGACAACCGATGGACAAGAGCCGTTAGTGACTGGATTCCTTAGATTGTCAAACGTACTGTAGGAAGACCACCGACCTGATGGGCAGAGTTCTTCACAAAGAGCTTTGGAGAAAGATATGATGCTCGACGAGTCCCTAGAGCGAGCAGAATCGCCGTTGGGAGACGTTAGATCGCAGGAAAAGAAAGGGCTGGCAAAAAAAGGAAAGAAAAAGGAAGGAAAAATGAGCACTTTGTTTTTTTCATGTTGAATTTTCTTCGTACTCGGAACTAATTTCGTACGAGAGGTACGCCATAAGATAATCGAAACAAACGATGAGCTACATCTGTCTACTCCATCTTTCTCTTTTGTAGTAGTCACGAGCAAACTTTTCTCAACAACTTTCTTGTCCTCCTTAGGTCCTCTTCAGAAACATTCAAATGGATGTGTTAAACAATGGACTGTAAGAGCTTCCTTGCGTTACTCAACGTATAGTAGAACGACTGACGCCACCTATCCCACTAAATAAACTTATTGGATAATACTTGACTAACAATTCATTGAACTCGATGTGAAATACCACTCTCTTTTCCTAAAGATATTCTCTCTTATACCATTAGGGAGCTGTACCTTCAATGTAGATCTATTTATCGTTTATCCACTTCAGCGTTAACTTACAAGGAGATCTTTCCTCACCGTTTCTAGAAATAGTGAACTGGCGTGAAGCTCAACAAGCGCTACGTGACATAGTTTTCCTGTTAGTTGCACTTCTAGCTGGAAATGCCGAACCTCTTCACAGCTTACGCAATCCTAGTGGGAGAAAGAAGACCCTCAGTGTGCACCACGCCTTTGAACACCGTTCAGATGCGGAAAACCATTGCAGTTATTTCAACTTATCGACCTTTCTATACCTTCCATTTGTCTTCAACAAAAACAAGTGAAACAACATATCCAACATATCTTCCTCATCAGACCGCGAGGTTCTTCTCGTTTATTTTTTAAATTTACATTAGTGGTGAGACATTCCACACTGGTGGATATTAAGATCAAACATATTAGATGGCTAAATTCGAAGAATAGAATTACTATCGTCGTTATATCTAAATACTTTACAGGTTTGCCTTCAATCGATCATACTAGAATTGGGTAATCTAAATATTACTCACAAGCTGGTAGTCATAAGAATGCAAGCGTACAAGAAAAAATGTTGAAAACGTGGTAAACATATATGCCTTAGTAAATTAAGTGAAGGTATTGGAACCCATGAACATCAAAATGTGAATAAAACAATGTTCACATAGACTAAGCTTCTCCTGTGTATCAAACGGTTATTTTCGACCTCTTGTCGAGACCTGCTGAAGCTAGGCCTTTCCGTTTAGTGGGATTCCTCTTGCTATTAGTAGCATTGAATCTATGCAGCTCGACACTGTCTGTGTTTGAAATCGAGATGAATACGTCGCCGTTGGAACACGAATACACTACATGAGCATTATGACACGCGTACACCTCACGTTCATCCAGAATTATGCTGAAAGTGTTCCACCGACCGAATGTGTTGTTGATAAACGAAAAACCTCACAAAGTGTATCAGCACTTAAAAATGGTTAGTACACATTCATCAAGGATTTGAATGCTAGCTTACTCCGAATCTAATCCATTATAATCAGCGATTCGCAAGATCTCAATCGAGTCATAATGCACAACGTACAGGTATGGAGCAGTATACACTAAAAAGAGCTATTTTACATACTATGTATTGGAAATTGCTTAGAAAAATTTATTTCACCAAATTCCATTGGCATCTGTTCCCACTCCACGGTCCTACTCCGCGTTCGTTCGCCTCGAGAATTTACGAATATACCATAATCTGAAAATAGTGAACTAACACAAATTTCTACTTCCTGCTATAATCACTAGACTCACTCTGATACGCAAGAAGAACTTCGTCGTCCCGTATCAGAAGAAGTGCAATCGGATAGTCTACAATGCTGGGATCAGCCAAACGCACTGGATCCAATTCACCTTGCCCAAGTTGAACAAAGTAAAAACTATCGGAGCCGAAATATATGCCACGAGGAGTTGATTGGATACATACTGCTGGTTCGTTTATTTCAATCACCTAAACTGACATTTTCCACAGAAGAATGTTATACGCAGCATCGCTCAGAGAGAGTGGCATCGATTCTACTCAAACCAGCATGTATAAGCACTTGATGTTAGCGTCGTTTTCGTGTTCAGCAATCGCGAAGTTGTTATACAGCATACATTTACTTCCATAAAAAAACACAATACAACACAACAGTAGCTGACGTTTCGGCAGTATCGCCTTCTTCAGAGCCTGGAAGGGTGTACTGATATACAATTTATTAGGGTAAACGCTTCAACAACACAAAAAGACGAAACACTCTGTGGCAATTACATAATCAACAGCTTCTCGAAGCATTCACCGCTCTTTTCGTGACTTCCAATGAGGAAGGTTAGAACAGAACGACTGATTATAGTCGCATATGGTTGATGACTGCACGCACACCAGAAAATGATGCGAACATACGGGGCCAGGTCGCGTGTGACCTCTCGGTGGCGATACTGCCGAAACGTCAGCTACTGTTGTATTGTATTTTTTGTTTTCTATGGAAGTAAATGTATGCTGTATAACAACCTTGCGATTGCCGAACAAGAAAACGACGCATTCATATTCCTATGGCGAGGTTAATAGAAAGTCGATGGAGAACTTGATGTTAGGTTCGCCATTCCTGTTGCCATACTACTTACGAATTGTCGTACACATCTATCGCTGTTACAATTTTGCTCCTCGTCATATTTTGTTGGAGAGATTAACCCGTACAGAGACATAGAACAACGCGTTTACGTCGTTTATTAACCTTATGAAAATGCAAGCACTAAATCATCCTACCACTACAATGGACTTCGTGGATTAGTACTCTATTGCGTAAATTGACCTAACGCTAAGAAAACGATATGGTTTGCTTTAACTTGTGGTATGGGTCAACTAAACACTGCACGTATGAGCTTCACATTATGTAATAGAATTCTTTTGCATGGGTTGAAATACAAATGGCCATAATCATCAAGTCGTGATCGTGAACATGAAAACTCAGTGAAACCTACTTGTTGTGCGATAAAGACGTCCCTAGCCGCGTTGTACTTGAGTATATTGATTTTCGTAGAGCTTGCCGCAAACAAATACCTTAAGTGGAGAGATCAGGTGGGAAAAAGCCAGCGAAGATTACAGGCACAGCGTTTCTAATTTACATACCATTGTCCTTCCTGCTGGTGATGAGTGAGCACATGCAGGTTATCGTAGCCAGGGATAACGTCTGCTCGAAGACATGGCTGTGCAGCATTTAACTCAGACTTTAAAGTAGATAACGGAATCAGAGCAAGCAACCGACGATGATCAATTACCAAAGCAAGTATGCTCAGACATTGCAAAAACTGCATCTGTAGATAAACCTTCCGTAATTTCTGTCAGAAAACCTATTAAAAGCATAATAATTCTGACAAATCTAATGAGGAATACTTCAAGGTCGTATAAACTACTATAGCTCAAAATCCATAGTTACTAACAGCGGAGACAGAATTGAAGCCTCCAATTCTGACTGGTAGCCTCGGACTGCTCATATAGGTAAAGAATAAACCACTCTGCGCGCCGATTAGGATGTAGCTGTCGATCACCTTAAGGTTATTCCTTGTTATAAACAACATCAAAAAATGGACAGTACACAGCATTTTAAAGAATGATTCCACTAACACATATAGTATGAATAGTGAGATTGTTGGGCTTGGAGAGCACTAGGAGACATGACTGATCGGAGGAGGAGCTAGATCGGTGCGTAAGCATCATTCTTCTAGTGGACGCATTCTGAAGCGCTTCCGCCCACCGCTTTGCTGTTTGAGTTGAAGGAGCCAGAATGTAAATATTTCTACTGAAAATAATACTCTAGCTCTACTCTTTTTTGGCTATTATATGATCGAAACACACTTTTCAGTTCTTATGTGAACTATATTGTGGGATGTTTGACCATTTTCTGCCTTCACAGGAACCTCGCTACCTACTCTGACTATTCGAAGATCCTTTTCAAGATCAACCTAAATAACTGCTTAAAAAAATCATCTCTTGGGAAATTAAAGCAATCGAACACATAACTAACCGAAAGGAATGGCGTCCGTAGATCAGAATTTGTGGCATCTTTATCATAAAATAATAAACGCTTCTCATCCATCTCACCCCATACTGAAAGCCATTCGCGTACAGTAAAGTCGTCACTGTAAATGCATCTTGGAGCAATTGGCATGTAAAGGATAAAATTGTAGCAAGTTAATCATCTCGAAAATCAAAATAATGTAATATAATTGTACGGAATAGGTTTTCACGAACCTGAACAGTCTTATCCAGCCGTTCATTTTTCCACTAGGATCACTGTATGAATCTAAATAGTAGTTGGCACATTGATCGGGAAGCCCACAGGTGTTCACCACACGTGATGCACATTGCGAATGAACAATGATACCACAATAAGTGCAACGTTTTTTCTTGGCGAACTAAACGAGAACTACATAGTGTAGAAGCTCAACTACTGAAAAATGAAGCATTACAAGTTCACAAACCAGATCACATAGTTAAAAAAAACCATGTTCGGTAATACACGAGAAAATATCAACTGTGCAACATCTACGAATAACTTATCTAACCAAAAATCAACCTTTTTTCCCACCGGGTTACCGCCTCATTGTGGCTGGGAGGTGTTCCTGGGTGTGGGGCTGCGATATGCAGCGGGGGATCCACACCCTGGCAAGGTCTCCCAAGCTGAGGAGCCCGGAGTTCCCACCAGAAAGCCTAGTTAGGAGCACACCAATGTCAGGATCCACAAATCTCTCAATGATCGACAAGGACGGCTAATGCCTGTGGTGGTGACGACCTGAGGCAGACTTTAGCCAGGCTGACCTCGGGATTCCAAGAAACCACCAGCAAACCTCCGAAGAAATGGAGATAAGTCTGGGACCCGCACAATCAGTGAAGATGGGTCATCCAAGTATCCAACTAAGTAAAATCAACCTTATTCTCCGGAAAAGACGAATCAAAAAATGCTCATATGTACACATGAAACGCATTCAAGCAAATAATTCTACACACCTACTGAGGAAAATTTAATTCCTTATTGTTTAGCTAGAAAGAGAACAGTTAACATCAAAAGTGGCACAGGTCTAAAAAGAATAATTTTTAGTCAAAACAAAAAACCAACTGTTGGCACTCCTACGAAGCACACGGCACATTTGATGCTAAACAGACCAAAATGACGGAGTTCAGTCCACCTTGAAAAAAGACGTTTTCATCACCACTTAGTTTCAAGGATATTAAAGTTATTAATCAAATAGACTTGTATTTTAGCTGACCTATGGGGAATATCATGTCTCATTGTAGCTTTACACGGATTTGACCCAACAAGACTGTTTGCTCTTTTTGAGTCATAAATGTGGCTAATATCCATGGTGGACTTCGACTGTAGCTCCTTTAATGGATGCCGAGCAAGAATGTGTGCAGGTACTGCCCTAGGTTCACATTCCTTCGACGCATCGATTGGTACCAGTTTTCTCGACATGAGTTCTGCAAATCATCAAGCCATATTACTTAAACGAATGTTAGCTTAGCTGTCAACCTGATAATAATTCTGATTTACCTTTCTTTTTCTCTTCTAATTCCTTCAAAAGATTAGTTTTTTGATTCTCTAACTCCTCGACTACCATCGGGTCGATTATCTCCTGAAAATTTTCAACAATAACTTGCTAATTTGCAAATATGTAGAAGTGAAGACGAACAAGTGAGATTTCCGTTGGAGTGCGCAACAGGGTACTGCGTCTACTGAGCTTTGGCATGTCTCTGGTCTTGATCTGAGATTGTAGATACGCCGTCAGTTTCTCCTTTTCCCTCAGCATCTCTTCAAGATTTATCATCTCCTCTTCTAGTTTACTCTAAAACCGTGTTGTTACCAAAATAAAGAGACTGTTTTTAGACTATATATACAACAACATATACCATGCGTTCCTCATTGATTCCCAGCTGTCGTGCCATTTCCTCACACATCTCTTTGGAATGTTCAGCCTCGTTTTTATACTGTTCAATTTTTGCCAACGCCTCAGCCAAACCATTGCGCAACTTTTTGTTCTCGTTCGTCGCTTCCAATTCACGAGCAACACCAGCGGAGATCTAAATTACCAAATGACAACCACGAAGAACTGCGAGCAGATTAAAAGATATCAGTACCTGTTGTTGCAATGCTTCCTTTTCTTGCTGAGACTCTTCCAATTTTCGTTTTGCACTACGAGATCCAATATCTAGTTGCGTGATCTGTGCCTTCAGCTCATCAATCTGACCAAAGTTATACAATAACTTATAAGCTATTACGACACAACTCTTTCTATTTCTGTGAAATTACTAATACGGTTTCAAAGCAAATAAAAAGAGGCAATACTTACCTTAACGTTGTACAATTCGTTGTCAGTGAGGTCTTTGTGTTTTGTTTCACTGATTTGGCGTGCAAGTAGTGCCAGCTCAGAGCGATAATCATTGTGAGTTTCGCGAAGCTCCTCCTAAAACCCAAGAAGCTATTCACGATTACGTCTACTTCTGTGTATCATAGCGCGCATTCAGCGCAGTGGACGGAGGCGCCCTACAATACCCATGGGATCCTTTAGCTTTATTTATTAGCTTTATCCTTTATCCTTTTTTATCCAATACCATCTATATTTGAGCATTATGGAGTCAAGCACCTGTGGCTATTCCAAAGACTGTGTAGAAGCACACAGCGTCCTCTTGTATGTCTGTGTATGAACAAACTAAAACTCTACTCAGCAGCAGTCCTTGTAGCAGGTGATATTTTTCTACCCTCTTCCTTAGCAATAATCCTTCTGACGAAAAAAAAAAAACAAACTGGTACAGGAACTCTTTTTGCAAATTATTGAAGGCACAGAATACCTTCTCATGGATCATGCTCGGCACATGTGAGAGAAACAGAGACAGGCTATCGACTTAATTCGATTGGTACAGCGAGAAAACTCTATGTAGCGAAATAAACAGGTAGAAAAGTGGACTGGCATTCATTGCCGATGAATGCACTAACATACATTCGCTATGCCGCGACGCGTTAATAGTGTGCTTCATCATCACCATACCACATTTATGTCACTGACCAATCAATTATTGCATTCTCCTAAGCTCCTAAGCTTCTAACACAACCTTCAGCCCTTTTATAATTTTACTGCATATGTTGATCAGATGGATCCTTTTCCGAAACAAGTTCTCAAACAACGAGACACATGTACGGTAATTGTCGCTATGCAAATCTCTTCCTTCGTTCAACAAACCATCCATGGCCCTCGTTATCACCGAATTAGGCTCAACTCCAATTATAAGTTGTCTATCGGTATGCGCCACAACTTCTAATTTGTAGCGTCTCCAACGTAACATGACTGGTGCAAGTGTCACAGTTGCAGTGATACCGTTTAACACTCTCGCGACCACGCCTAACTTCGCGTTTTTGAGTAGTGGGCGAGGCCTAATTTTTCGCTACATTCATTGTGACGCCTATAATTGTCCCACTGGCCACCCCGACAGTTTCAACGTATCCCCGCCCCCTTCTGTCTCTGTGCCTTGAAGCTCCATGTTCTTTTACACGCTCTTCCTAGTTTTTGGTGCATATACAACTCTTGTGTATGGAAAAAAAAAACACTCGTTCACTATACAGTAATACTGCTGTCAGCATTTAATGAAGTTGTATAAGTTCTGCAAGTAATATTACAATACTTGCCCTTTAGTTTTGATATCTTCTCATTCCAAACAATACTCAAAGGTTACTATAGCGACTAGAAAATAACGAAGTGATTGATGGTGCTGCACACTGAATGTTTCCAGTTCTTCGAGAATGCCAATCATTAACCGGGTGGAACGAATGATAGCCAACTTAAAGTTTAATAACACCTGTGGAAGGTTCGCCTTCACTAAATCTCACAAAAACGATGATCACGAAGAACAGATTGGTTTCTTAAGCCTCATTCACATTCAGCGGAGTGAATGTCTGCCAATGCTCGATCTGTGTCTATCTAGATCAGAAAGTTAACAAGACGAACGACTTGGCATTAGAATTGAGCACGTGGAAACGAGCGGTTTGGGGAGTTCTCAAAGTATCAAAAGTGTATTAAAGACGACTATGAACACATGACTCCATGTTTAACTTTTCAACACCACAATTCTTCCTGCCCCAGTGTACGCATCGAAAATTTGGACGCTACGTAAGCATTATGAAAGATCACTCCGCGTTGTCGAACGCGCAGTCCTGAGGACGATGCGGAGAGGACGACTTATCACTCAGCTAAGAGAGGACACACGAAGTTCTGACTTACGATAACGATCAAAAACCTGAGAGGTTGTTTTGCACGTTAAGATGTGGGAAAATAGATGGAGCGGACACGTGAAGGACAACGTGTGAACAAAAGTCGCTGGCGACTGGACTCCTCGAGATGCCAAACGTACAGCAGGGAGACCGCCGACTAGATGGTCAAAGCTCTTCGTAAAAACCCTAGAAGAAAGAGATAATGCTCACCGAGTCCGTAGAGCATGTGGAGTATATTAGGCTTACTCTTCTACGCGATAGGAATAAATAGAAAAATTATTGGGACCCTCTCGAGTCACTTCACGATCAACAAGACGACAGGTGAGTATTAGTAAATATTCCAACCTTTTACAATCAATCTTGTCCACCATATTGCCGGTAAAATTGGCTGAACCAACCGCTTTTCATATCTAGCTCATCTCAGGAATGTGGATGGTAGTGAACATCCTACAAGGTTCAAAATCGCTCAAACTTGTCCAACTAGCGGTTCTCAACAAGTGTCCGGCTGCCGTCAATACATGTTCTTTTTTCTCAGAACCATTTCACAATTTTTTTTACATGAACCGTCATCACATCTCTTGTGCAGTCCCAGCTCTTCCTGCATTCGATGCGTTTTTCTCGAATTCATCGTCCACAATGGTCTTCGAACATTTCGCGTTTTGTTTCAACTGTCGTTTGAAGATGTCGCCTAATGAATGTCGTAGACTGTTGATCGAGTGAATTCGTTTTCACTTTTGGGGATAACCGGGCTAAGGCGTTCCCACGTGACTTGGAGAAGAGCGTTGGGGCGAGAATCGAACTAGCGCCTTTTGCTTCCTGATCGACAGCATCACTAACCACTATGCTATCCCTGCCCCAAATCACAAATATCAGTCATAAACTTCCCGAAGTTGTATTCACGTAAAAGCAGTTGATGAATTTTTGATTTGCTGCTGCTGATGATGATTCCTTTCCTATGAGGCACTACACTGTTTGAACACACAGTTGGTTCATTTCACCATAATCAAATTCGTCACCATCCCCTGATTCAATCTTATTGGACAGCAAGGCGGGAACGAAATTCCAACATATCCTCAAATGCTTCAAATTCCTGTTTACTATCGACGAGGAGTCAAAACGAAAGTCAATTCATGTTCCATAGACATCGTTCCTGTCCATAAAGTGTTCAATTCTTCAATAATAATTGATTGTTCACTCTTCAAAAGTAGTTACGTTGAGCTTTCAATATAATGTGGAGTAGCTGGACATAAAAATGTTTGAGGAAAACAAAGATTCCCTATAAATGCTGCAAAACTGACTAGCAAATACATACAGCACATTAGCAGTATGGTAGATGCGTTTTTTACCACCCATAAGGGATGGAACCCTTTCAAAAGGTATGGGTGAATACATAAAATGACATAGAGAAAACACTGGATATGGAAGAAAAAGGAACTGAGCGAAAAACTCCATAGAAAAGCTGAACTGCGGGGTAAGAATACGGAAAGAAGTTTAAAAATATACTAAAAAGTAGAAACATCGCAGAATATCAAAGCGGTATAGTTCACGCAGAGATCAATCACATTCTTGTTGAGGAACACGATGTTGATTTGATGATGATTTTACACCACCTTTTTTTAGCTCCAGATCATCGCCTTCTTCATGCAAAAACTTGCTTTAGCAACAAAGTGGAGAAACCCAGTATTAAAACAAGAAAATAAGCAGTTTATACTGATCGCAACGCCTGTGGAGCCTATCGAATCACATCAGGTGCGAAAGCGAGAATCTAACGGAGAATTTAGAGATGCTGCTGAAAAAAACAGTGCTCCTCTTGAACCAAAGATAAGCTCTGAATGTTAACAATCAAGAGCAGAAAGCTTTAAAAAAGAGAACGCCTGCATGTAGATTCCACTGCTATATACAGTGGACGAATGCTCATCAATGCCGTTTTCACAAATGAAGTAGAAGTCGATCTTCATCGATGCAAACAGCTAAGGAATCATGAGTCAGTACAAGGAAGAAGTGTGATAAAATTCGTGGAGCTATTTGTTAGTGTAACATTGATCTGCTCGACTGAAATGGAAAGACAAAGGCATACGTAACCGATTCCTGGTGTTTCGAAAGACATTATCACTCTTGTATAGACATATATTTATGAACACTATCGCAGCAGTGCTTATTTACAAACTCATCAGATTACCTTGGATAAATCACTGATTCAGGATCTTTCTAATGCATAGACGTTCAAGGAATGTGGAATAACGAACTGAGAGAAAGACTCTGTACATAACAAAAAGTAGTGATAGCAGTCGCCGGGTCTCTCAGAGGCAACTGGCCTAATTCCTCATACCGACATGCACGAACAGTTATTTGCTGTAAAGTTTTCCCAGCTATGTGCTGTAAAGAAAAAATATTAGGCGATTTGCAAAACTCCGGACTGCAGGTATCTGCGATGGGGATTGAACCCGTTATTACTCTTTCCTGCAGCTAACGCGTTCACCACCACATCATGCGCGTCCTTCGCTTCGCCCTTCTCTCAGCCAATTTTCTGTTCCGTTTACGGATGGTTGGTAATGGCACTGGTTTATAGAAAACTAGCTGAGAGAAAGTCGAAACGAATCTAGGTAAGCAAATAATCTCACATTAAGGTAGCAAATTTTCATTTCCAGACGTTTTTTCTCAGCCCGTAGTTGATCGAGCTCAACTTCTGAAGCACGATGACGTTCAAGCTCGCGTTCGACCTCGCGCAACTAAAAGGTTAACTATAGCTTTGCAAAATAATGAAATCGTCATGTGTTTGAATTAAAAACAATCGAAATCACCTTCGTCGCCATGGTTTCACACTCATTCACTGCTCTCTCCCTACTTATCTCAGCACGCTTCTTTAGTTCCTAAAAATTCCTCTCTGAGAGTTAATCGTTTTTCTGCACCTATATTTCGGGCCGTTAAATAATTTTTTACACCTTACGTTAAAGAAAGAATTTACCCTGAATTGCTCACACTGCGAATCCACTATGTTCATTGTGTTTGAAAACTCTATCAACTTCGCTTCAGCCTTTTTGAGCTCTTCACGAAGTTCACGGTTAATACCTTTCTCAAAAAATAAATCCGTGACATCGGATCGCATTGAACTCAGCTATAAAATAAAATGAAAGCAATTAAAGAGAAACAACAGGGAGCTCACATTAAAATCAAGGAACTCAAGAGTGAAGCATTAAAAGTATAAGGCTTACAGATTTTTCGAGCTCCTTCACTTTTTCTTCCGAGGAATGAAGTTCG